AGAGCACAATCTGTATGTATTTTATCTGAATATTGTGGAAGAAGTGAAGAAAGTCTTTGACATTTGTAGTTTAATGCTCTTGCATAATTCATATTGTATTATGTTCAGATTTTTCTCTTGGTCTATTTAAATTCTCATTTTCCACAGATAGTTATGAACTTATGATTACGAAATATATATACTTACCAACATGTTAAAATTAAGTTAAAACTAGACTAATTAGACTTAGAAATTTGTTAAGTTGGTTAATAAATTAAATTTGTGACTATATTGTTAGAATTAAGTTAAAACTAAACTAATCAGACTTAGAAATTTTTTAAGTTGGTCAATATGTTAAACTTGTTACTATAGTATTAGAATTAAGATAAAACTAAAGTAATTAGACTTAGAAATTTGTTAAGTAGGTTAATAAGTTAAATTCATTTGCACAAGGCCTCGTTAATCAATCCCTACTAGTATTGGTACAATTTGTTTTTCAATAAATTATTACATAATCTAGTGCTTGACAAATTTAATTTTATGATTCTTATGTAGATGGATTGTAGTTGGATGTATAATATGACTAATTTTGGTCGAATGGGGCTAAGACCTGAATTTGTAGAAGGTGTCACTGGTTTTGTGGAGTATGCTAAGACATTAGATCATTTTCAACGTAGTGGTATGATTAAGTGTCCTTGTAATAAATGTCAATGTTCTATACCAGATACTGTTGAGCTTCATATCTATTGAAATGGGTTTAAAAAGGAATATTGTGTGGACTAGTCATGGAGAAATTGATAATAACTTTGGTGTATTTCAACATTATGTTCCTGGTGAAAGTAGTAGCACTGTGAATTCTAATGCACAAAATTATAGAATGGATGACATGGTTCAAGATGCTTTTGGTGTGCATTGTAATTTTGATTTTTCTAATCAAGGTGAAGAAGCTCCTAATGCTGAATGTAAAATTTTCTTTGAACAATTGGAAGTTGCTAGTCGGCCTTCATATGAGGGGAGTCCACATTTGCAGTTGTCTATTGCTGTTAGATTATTAAGTATCAAATCAGACTGGAATGTTCCTCAAGGGGCAATGGACTTTGTGATTGACCTTATTCATGATTTAGTCGAACCAAATCTAGAGATACCTGATAACTTCTATAAGGCAAAGAGGTTGGTATCAAAGTTAGGAATGTCATCGATGAGAATTCATTGTGGTGAAAATGGTTGAATGTTATACTATAAGGATGATATTGGTCTAGAATCATGTAAGTTTTGTGGAAAATCTCATCATAAGCAATCTGCTAGTGGGAAGAAAGTTCCTATTAAGGCGATGCATTAGTTACTTCTTATACCGAGGTTAAAGAGGTTTTATGCGTCTAATAGATCTGCTCCTCATATAAGATGGAACCATGAAAATAGAAGACCACCTGGAGTTATGTGTCATCCATCCGATGGAGAGGCTTGGAAGCATTTTGATAGAACATATCCATAATTTGCAGCTGAACCACGGAACATTAGATTGGGTTTATGTTCAGATGGATTCACGCCACATTCTATTTCTGCTGCACCATATTTTTGTTGGCCTGTATTTGTAACACCATATAATCTTCCACCTGAGATGTGTATGATCAGTCCATATATATTTCTCAATTGTGTCATTCCTGGACCACGGAATCCAAAAGTATTGATTGATGTATACTTGCAACCTTTGATTAATGAGTTGAAACAATTGTGAATTCAAGGGGTTGAAACATTTGATGTGTCTCTTAAGCAGAATTTTAATATGTCGGCTGTCTTAATGTGGACTATTAATGATTTTCCAGCATATGGAATGTTGTCAGGGTGGATGATAGTGGGAAAGTTAGCTTGTCCTTATTGTATGGAATATACTAAATCATTCACTTTGAAACATGGTCGTAAAAATTCTTGGTTTGACTGTTATCGACAGTTTTTGCCAATGGATCATGAGTTTAGGAGTATGAAAAATGCATTCAGAAAGAATTTTGTTGAACAATGTTATCCTCCTCCAATCTTGACTAGAGAAAAAGTTTGGGAGAGGGTTCAAAACTTTCTAAAGGTTACATAAGAGCAGCCCTACAAATTTGATGGATATGGTGTTGCTCATAACTGGACAAAACAAAGCATATTCTGGAAGTTACCATATTGGAAGGACAATCTTCTTCGACATAATCTTGATGTCATGCATATTGAAAAAAATTACTTTGATAATTTATTTAACACAGAAGGACAAAAAATAATGTTAAAGCTAGGATGAACTTACCTGAATATTGCAGGCGAAAAGAGTTATGGTTGCAAGAGAAACAGAACAACAAGTTCTTCAAGCCTAAGGCTAGTTATTCTTTTACAATGTATCAAGCATAAAATTTGTGAATGGGTCGAGCAACTTAAGATGCCTGTTGGACATGCTTCAAATTTAGAAAAATGTGTCGATATGGAGAATGGATAATTACATTAAATGAAAAGTAATGATTGTCATTTCTTCATGGAAACATCACTCCCCATTGCATTCAGTGTCTTGCCCGATAAAATTTGGAAACCTATGACTGAAATCAATTTGTTCTTCAAGGACTAGTATTCTAATACGTTAAAGGAAGACAACCTAGTTCAGATGGATTAGAATATTCCTGTAATTAAAAATAAGTTAGAGAAGATTTTTCCACTTGGATTTTTTGATGCGATGGAGCATCTTCCTGTACATCTAGTGCATGAAGCATGCCTCGGAGGTCCGGTTCAATACAGATGAATGTATATATGTGAGAGGTAAATATATAAGTATTAATATTTGTATATCAATATGTTGTTTAAATCAATGATAACAATTATAATGTAGGACTATTGGAAAGTCTAAATGGGGCATGAAACAAATCATAAAGTTGAAGACTCAATGGTTCAATTCCATCTTGGTAGGGAGATAATTAATTTTGGTTCTTATTACTTTAAAAGAAGTGTGTCATGCTTTCAAAATAGACCCAATTTCCATGACAATGGTGGTGAAACTATGAAGACACTATCAATCTTCAACCAACCAGGCAAAGGTTCAAAAAAATGTACAAGGAGGAATCTTAGTGCCATGGAGTTGCAGTCTGCATCTACACATGTCTTATTGAATTGTCCACAAGTAAACCATTTGTTGAGTAAGTTTATTTTTTTGCACTAAAATATGAAATTACAAGACAAATCAATTAACTCAATATCCATCTTTTTTGACAGTTACTTTGTGCATTTATATAGCAATAAAAGAGTATTTGACCGTTTCTCAAAGTGGTTTCAAGATTACGTAAGCCTTATAATATTTTCATAATACTATTTTTATTAAATTAATTTATATTTAATTGATGCTAATTTTCTACTTTAATTTTTAAATATTTATAGATTTATGAAACAATATATGGTCAATTTGACCAATTTTCGAAGGACATTTCTTGGGGACCCATCAAGACTTACTCAATGAATAAGTATGTTGTTAATGGTTTTAAATTCACTACTGAAGAATACTCCAAATATAAAGAACTAAAAATAGTGGAGTTTGGGTGAAAGGTGGTTATGGAAATCTAGATGGAGTTTATTATTACAGGGTACTCAAGGAGGTTTTGGAAATGGAGTATTCCGGTTGGCCTACACAAAAATTGTATCGTTTAGATGCAAGTGGTTTGATCCAACCCCAAAAAGAGGTACGAGAGAAATCAAACAATATAATATCATTGAAGTAAAGCACACAAGGGAAGTATGATCCTTTTATTATTGCACAAAATGTTAAGCAAGTGTACTATGCTCCTTATCCCTTGCGCCCAGATAAAGCTGATTGGTGGGTGGTGATTAAAACCAAACCCATGGGCCGTGTGGAAGTTGAAAACGTGTTGGATGTTGCATACCAAAATGATGATTTATGAAGTGTTCACCACACCGTCGATATTGAATTAGAAAATGATTTAGAGCATTTGGAACATATATCAGAAGAGGTTGATATGGAAGAAATAACAAATGAAGGGGCAAATGCAACAATTCATGAGGATGAGTATGAGTATGATGATGAGGATGAAGATGAATATGAGGATGAGGATGAGGATGATGTTGAGGATGAGGATGAGTATGATGATGAAGATGAAGATGAGGACGAGGATGAGGAGGATTAGTAATTACCATTGCAATCCCTCTTTGTCTGTATCTCTGTATTGAGTGCTTTATAGATTTATTAATGATACATAAAGTAATTTATTAATCTATCCTCGTGTGCCTTTTGATTTAATTTCAATAAAAAGATGATTTTTAGTTCAAAAAGTTCAACTTCATATGTTCTTGTGTGCCTTTTGTTGGATGTTGTTTTCCATATTATTTTGTACTAGTGGTTGTGGCTTTATTTTATGTTAAAAAGTGATGAACTGCTAGATAAGCTACTGGATGATGTTTGTCTTTCATATCTTCAATATCTAACCTTATTTGACTTGAATATTTTTGTTACTAATTAGATGACAGGTAAATGTAAGAATAAAGATATTGATAATGACCCCAAAAATAAAAAAGAAAGGAAGTATGGTTAGTAGACAACAGACAGGTATACATATAAGATCAGACAACACAACATCTCTCCCACCAAGAGACACTCCGCCACATTGCTATTCTAGGCCAACCGTGCTTCCACATATTAATCCTCCTTCGACCTATATGCATCCACGACTGGAATATACTCAGCCGCCCCCTCAGGTACTTCTGATAATGCCCACATCAGGGTATACTACCCCACATGGATATAGTGTTTTACCTCAAGAGGATAATCGACCAACGTCTAGTGTCTCTCACACTAATACTCACAACCCTGCAGACTCACAACCATCGTCATCATCTGCTTCACAACTTATGATGTCGAGTCTTCGCATTCAAGGTAATAGTTCTGAGCCTAACACTCCTACCACAAATCAGTCAAATACACCTGGTCATGACAATACACAAGTTGACGTGAGGGATATTCATAATAGACTTGTCATCGAGCCTGAAGACTACACGTAAGTTTTATTTAAAAAAGTATGGTATGTTTACGATTATATCATTTAATTGTCTTTATTTTAACCTGTAAATGTTAAAACTTTGTATTACAATTTCAATCCAGATGATGTTGTGGGGATCATTTCTCAGGCAATCAAAGAACTCTATAGAGATGCTTATCCTACATGGGGAAAGATCTCTAGCAATCTCAAGAGACAAATATTTTGGAGTTCAGGGTATGTTCAAATTTATTTGTTTAACACTATTAAAATACTTGTCTTCATTAATACTTATTAACTAAAAAAATTATGCTTTAATTGTAGAAAAAATGTGCTTGGCGTCCGAAACATGAGGGCCAAAATTTGTGCATAATTTCACAAGAAAGATATGCATACTCTTGTTGGTTTGTTTAATAAAGCTCGTAGAGATAATAAGAAACCTAGCTGGGTTCTATCGGAGGATTGGAAAAAATTACTTGTGCATTGGAAATATGATACAAGATTTAAGTAGATGAGTGAGATCGGTAAAAAGGCAAGATCATCTACTAAGGGTGGTTCTCTACACACAAGTGGGGCTTAAAGTCAAGGAAGTATGAGGAGGAAATTGGTGTGTATCATTTTTCTTTATTTTTTTTTATATTTTATCTATTAATATTTAATTACTCTTGATTATAACTTTATTATTTTTATATGTAGGAAAAGGAACTAGGAAGACCGGTAACTCAGGCTGAGGCATTTAAGGCAACACACATTAGAAAGAAGAAAAATCCTGAAGATCCAGATGTGTGGGTTGAACCACGAGCTGAAGTGACCTATGTAATTCTCTAATTTTAAAAAATAATTACTTATTTTCTAAATTTATATTCTAATATAATAAAATTCAATTTCGAATCGATATCTTCAAGCTTTGGAGGATTTACAACAAACTCTGCTGGAAGAAAATTGAGGTATGTCACTTACTCAAGAACAGGCTGAGAGAGTTTGGTTAGACTTGACTGGTGAGCCGGGTAGATATGGGTATGCATATGGAATGCCGCAGAAAAACTTTCACGAATTTTTTCTTAGTTTGAAGGCCTAAATAGTTCATATCATGATAAATCAATGAAGAAAAATTTGGCTATGGGGCAAAAGATTGTTGAGCTATCTAGCCAAGCCAAAGAATCACGGGCTAGGGAAAGGCGATTGGAATTACAGTTTGCGGGTCTTAAGGCTCAATTTGATGCATTACTTGCTTCAGAAGGGATTTCCCCTTGTTCTGGTGATGTCACTTTCCCTCCTCGACCTCCTCAATCTCAACCTACTCAATATCCAGTGTTGGTCACAAAGAAATATGACACATGAGTCTAGTAGTGATGAAGAAAATGATGATTATGTCGCAAACACACTACCACATTAGTGAAGTTTAGACTTGTGATAGATAATCTAAGTTAACTTATGGATAATTTTGTTAACTTTATAATTTTGTGATGAGAATTATTTGTTTTATGAATACATGATAATATTGCAATGTGTTATATAACTTGTGGATATCTTAGTTTTTGTTTTGTATTGAATTATGTTGAATGTGAGTTGATAAGAGAATATTTAGTAAATGTATTGGTTCAATTGATTTTTGAAAGCTCTTTGATCTTGATTTGGGTACTCAATTAAAATGATAGGTGATGAGAAGCCGCAGAAATAATAATTAGTTGCCAGTATTTTTCCAGAAAAAGAGACCTCATAAGGTCTCTTTTTTGCATTAAATTTTCAAGAAATTTCATGATAGAGACCTCATGAGGTCTTTATTTAACATTTTATATTTATAAATGTAGAAAAGAGACCTCATGAGGTGTCTTTTTGCATTATATTAGAGACCTCATGAGGTCGCTATTCAAAAAATGAAGAAAGGAGACCTTGTGAGGTCTCTCTTTTAAAATATTACATTAAATTAAATAATAAAGTGGTGACCTAATGAAGTCTCTTTTTTAAAATATTAAATTAAATTAAATAATATAATAGTGACCTCATGAGTTTTTTTTTAAAAAAAATATAAAATTAAATAAAATAATAAAATAGTGATCTCATGAGGTCTCTTTTTAAAAATATAAAATTAAATAAAATAATAAAGTAGTGACCTCATGAGGTCTCTTTTTTAAAAAAATCGGACAATTTATTGGTGACCTCGTGAGGTCTCCGTTCGGCGACCTCATGAGGTGTTTACAAAAAAGTGACCTGCATTATAGTGACCAACCGTTGAGGTCTCTTTTTTCATGAGGTCTCTTTTCTAGGTATCTTTTTGCCCTTTTTTAGTAGTGTATAAGAAGTGGTGATAAAATCGGGACCAGAATAAGTCTCAAATATTCATCTTACTCCTGCCTTCTGAGTTCATTTTTATGCTCATTAGAAATAACATTTGAAGAACACACAATATGAGAATTAACTTATATAGATGTAGAAGCATATTTTGCACATTACTTGACACCTTAATTTTTAAAGGATAAATATGCTCAAAAATTTTTGCATCTTTAGATCAACAAACAGAATGATCACTTAGAGACACAAAATCTATATGCAACACTATGTTGAGCATAAATAATAAAGATAGTATCATAAGTTTTAGAATCAACATTTACGCATTTAAATTGAGGTATATAAACCTTAGCCAAAACCCCCACACTTACAGAAATTTTAAGTTAGGAACAAATCTTTTCCACAACTCATATGACGTCTTGTGTAACTTCTTATGAGAGACTTGATTAATAATATGGCTTACCATCAAGACTTCTTCTCCCAACATATTGTCTGATAGACCAGAGCTTAAAAGCGTAGAATTCATCATTTCTTTAAGGTTTTATTGTTTCGTTCAGCTACACGATTTTTTTGGGGAGTATAGAGAGCATTAACCTCATGTATAATACCATTTTTCTCACAACAATCTTCTAAAGTTTTAATACTATATTCACTGCTCTATCAGATCAAAATCTCTTGCTTTTTTGTCTAATTGATTTTTCATTTCTGCTTGGAATTTCAAAAACATGCTTTCAACCTCATCTTTAGACTTAAGAAGACATACTTAAGTATATCTAGAAAAGTCATCAAAAAAATTAGTGTAATACTTTTTTCCACCTTTACTAACAGTGTCCTTGAAATTTGCTAAATTCGAATATATTAGTTCAAGTAATTCAATCTTTCTACTTAGTAGATTTTGAAGATTTCTTGACATGCTTTTCTTCTACACACACAATACGTTTATGAAACTCATCAGTTTTTATCATAGGAGTTAATTTTATTTTTCTATGGCTTTTAATAGAAGCAATACTAACATGACTTAGTTTACCATGTCACAAATTAATAAACTCAACAATATAAGCAGAATTTGAAATACTTTCACTCTTGACAATCTCTTGAACAATGTTCAATACAAATAATCCTCCACTAAGATATTCCTACACAACAAAGTCTCCTCCACGAGAAATAATTATTTTACCATCTTCAAAAATAAGTCTAAGGCCTACTTTGTTGAGAAGTGCTCCGGAAACTATGTTTCTATGGAGGGATAGAACATATAAAACATTGTTCAAGGAGAATGTATTTCAAGAAGTTAATTTAAATAAAAATTTTCTTTTACCCGTTACTACAACAATAATTAGATTTACCCATATATACACTCTCGCCATCACTAGACTCCTCAATGTCATGAAAAATTCTTATTGGCACAAAAATGCCTTGAAGTGTCTGTATCTAGCACCCAATAAGTTTAGTTAGCCATCCGATTCTCCTCAAAGACTACAACAACAATCACTTCATTACCCTCAATAAGATGATCTTGGACATCACTTTGTTCGTCCTTATTTTGAGTCCTACCCTTTTCTTTGATAGCACTTGGCAACCCTGTGACTAACTTTTCCACAAACAAAACAAGGACCATTAATGTATTGAATTTGACTCTCCGACTTGTCGAATTGACTTGTCTTCTTCATATATTCCTTTTTCGAGACTTTCTCTTATTTGCCTTTGAACCTGTCTTTCACAATAGTACTAGAAGATTCAATAAAATTAGCTTTAGAAGAAATAAGAGAAAGTTCTTCCATCTTATCTTTGAGACGTTTCGTCTTTTCAGTCCTCATATGACTAATAAGTTCTTGGAGAGTTGAAAAAAAATTGTTATGTTACAGTTAATTTCTATAGTCAATTCAAGATGGTGAGAATTTTTCAAACATAAGATAAGCCTTAAATATCTCACACATCTTCATGTCCTCATTGAGAATATCAGTAGTCATGTTCTCATACTCGTGAACTTGTTTCATTATTGGTTTATTATCAACCATTTGAAATTTAATCGACTGATGGATTTTTCCTTTCCTTCATTGTCAGCACCATATTTCTTTTCCAAACTATCTCATATTTCTTTGATAAATTTATAGGTTAACAATAAATCAAACAAAGTATTAGTCATATGATCTAACAAATGTCCTCTCACAGATTTATTATCCTTTTAAAACTTCTTTTTATCAACATCATCAACAGTTGTAACATTGCTAGAATCAGTAGTGGTATTAGAATCATTTATAGAAGGTTCTTTAAATAAAAACATAATCAACTTCTAATTGTTCAAAAAAAAATCATAGTTTTTTTGTTACCATCATTTAAAATTATTTTCATCTAAAGGCTCAAGTTTTGACAAATCAGAAAATATTTTGTTCAAAGAAATATCCATTTATTAATATTGCATGTTACAAAATCACTTTCAAATTGTTGGAAAAGTACTAGAATATTGATATTAAATAGGAACTATAAAATAAGAAATGTATTATCACAAACATAATGTTGTGGCAAGCATACCTTCAGAGCGATTTCGACTCCACTCCGGCACAAATCATTGTAGTTGATCGCTCCCCAAAGTTCCGCAGTTACTCTCAAATACGTACACTCGTGGCTGACAGTTTTGAGGTTGCCCAAAATCAATTGTCCAAAAATATTCTGAGAATAAGAAGAAAGGAGAAAAATGTTTTGTTTTCCTTCTATTGGTTGTGTTAGCATTTATAAAGGCATTACTTATATAGGAAATTTATATAGTAGTTATTGTAAAGTCAAAAGTTAATTTTGATAACGCAATATGAATGTTAATGGCATTAATGGTCATTACATCACATTCTACAAATGTTTTTGATTTGGAACAAAAAATGAATCCTCTTTGTAACATATTTTGTAACATATTTTACTTTGTTCTTTGCATCATAATAAATGAATAGATGAGAATTAATATCACAACCTGTACTTTTAAAAAATAATTTTTCACCATGGTCTGAAGAACCCTAACTCAAAAAAAAGCCCATTAATAGCCTCATTTGAGCTTATAATTTCATCAAAACTAATATTAATGTAGAAGAAAACATTCAAACCCAACTATTCCTAATCCTTACCCAGTAAAATATTCAAAGTTGTATCTTCAATTTAAAAAATGAGATGAAAATTTGTTCTTTGTTTTTTAAAAGTTTTGCTTTTGAAAAAAAGTAAAAAGAAATAATTAGTGACAGCAATAATCCTTCTTCAAATATATAAATCCATTTCGATTTGGTATTTCAATTTTCGAAAGCTTTTTTCTTTCGCTTTCAATTAATTTTCTTGTTGGGTTTTTGATGAATGTGGAATTTTCATTTGAAAAATGAGGAGAAGTGAGATTACAAGAAAAAATAATTGAAATTGAGAGGATGGTGATATATATAGAAGGTGGGTGATTTGCTATTTTTCAGAAAGGGTGGATGGATTTTAAGAAGAAAGGGTTTTTTCATCTTTTTTTCCCTTTGTCTGTTTGTTGATTTGCGTTTTCCCAATTCATCTGTATTAGAGCCACATAAGGTCGGTTAATGGTCAAAGAGGCCTATGATTTCTATTTTTTTTTTGAATTTAGTGTTTACTTTAAACTTTGTGGGATCGAATGGTCTAGTTCGTAATTTGAGTCAAGTATAAGAGTTTAGAAAACTATTTCGCCTATTGTTATTACTATACACCTGATTCGTCGTCATTAATTGAAGAAACATTAATTATAATAATGTAGTACTTAATAAACTATAATTAATTAATTTATAAATCAATATTCTCTCTATCCAATAATAGTTGTCCACTATTGACTTTACACGCTTCTTAAGAAATTATAAATAGAAGAATAATTTTACTACATTACCCTTTAAATATAATAAATACATTGTCTTAACAAATGTGATAGATAAATAACTATAATTAATTATAAGGGTTAATTAGGAACTAAAAAGATTATTCATTGATGTCATAAAGTGAACAAGTATTGTTGAACATCCTAAAATAATATAGTGGACAACTATTATTAGACCGAGGGAGTCCTAATCTGTTAATACCTGTAATTAAAATTTTATTAATAGTTATTTACAAAAACTATAAGTAACTTTTAAGGTTCTAATATTAACTCGTAAACAGATGTGCGGGTGTTTTTCTCTAAAATTAATGTAATTGTGATTTAATTTACGTATTTTCTTCATATCAATTTATATGATTCATTTTTTTAATTAGTACTAAAAGTAATGACATACTTTTATATTTAGTAATAATTTAACTTTTTCACTGTTCATTTATCAGTAATGAAATAATTTTAACCACACAAATACATATGACTTAATTTAAATCACAAGTTTCAAATATTTTTCTTTTTAAAATTATATATTAAATTAAACTATTTCATATAAATTAATACAAATGGAATATAACATTACAAATCAACGTTACTTGTCCAAAGAAAAATCGAACACCACAATAAAGCAAAACCTAACTCATTAATGGAAGTTATATTAATTACTTAGATCTACGTTTTATTATTTTACTTTAAATAATTCTTATTAGTATAGTAGATCTATATGATTTATTTATGTATTTTTTTTAAATGTCAACCCAACTTACAAAAATTCATGCATGTGATATTGTTGGTACCACCACTACTGAATTTACAACTCTGCTTACTTTGTAAGCAACACATACGCAGAAAGTGTCTCCAATCACATAAATGTAATATTCTCGGTAAAGTTTGGTGCAACAATATACTCCTTCCGTCGATTTTTATCTATCATTTTACGCTTTTTGAAAATTAATTTGATTTATTTCAAAATTAAATTAGATTACGTTAGCTCGATATTTTAAATTTAAAAAAATAGATATTCAAAAATTATATGAAAAGTATAATAAATTACAATTTTTTGCATATCAAAAAAATAAAAAATTATATATATATATATATATATATATATAAGAGAACCCTAAGTCTGCCTATGTGGCGCCACTACAAACAAGGATTTCCTTTGAATTTATTTTATTTCAAAAATTAGCCTTCTCCTTTCACTAAAAGGTGTGATTTTTATGAAAAGTTATAACTTTTATGATAAATTGTCACTTTTATGAAAAATTGTGTCTTTTATGAAAGGTTGTAACATTTTTAAAGGGTTGTAACTTTTCCAAAGAGTTATAACATTTCCATAAAGTTGTGACTTTTATGTAAAGTCATGAATTTAATGAAGAGTTGTGACTTCTACATCAAAAGTTGTAATTTTTGTGAAAAGTTGTGACTTTTATGGAGAGTTGTGACTTTTATGAAAAATATGACTTTTATAAAAGGTTGTGACCTTTCCGAAGGGTTGTAACTTTTCCAAATAGTTTGGACCTTTTAAATAAGGCATAATAAGAATGTATTCACACTATCCATTGTTGTCTATAAATAGAAGGATTTCCTGTCACTATTATTTGTAGTTGTTTTTCCGCTTTAGGATAGTCGTATTCAAATAAATAAATTAAGCTTCTTATGAAGTTTGTTTCATCTCTGAAAGTTTCCTTACTTCTATTTTATAGAGTTTAAATTTTACTTTAAGCCATAGTCATTCATGTAATTATGACAATTTCTTTTTGCTACTTTGGTGACATGTTTAAAACTCTGTTAAAATTTCAGCAAAGATTAATGAAAATTGATCTTCTCTTTTGTTTCTTTCTACAGGTTTCTTCGTATAAACAAATAAATAGATTTTTTATTGCAATGCGACATTAAGAATTTTGCATCTCTCATTTCACAACTCTTAACGCTGTTGAAATGGTTGAATTCGTTCATTTGGTTCTTTAGTAAACAATAATTTTATTTCTGCCACTATTATTTGTAATTTTTTTTAATTTTTGTCATAGGGCATTCGAATTCAAATAAATTATTTAAACTTTTTATGAAATGTGTTTCATTCCTCAAAGTTTTATTCCCCCCTATATAATGAAACTTAGTCTTTTACTGTAAGTCATAATAATTCGTGTATCTATTACATTTTTTATTTGCTAGTTTGGTGATTTTTTTGACTCTGCTAAGAATTTCAATAAGGATGGTTGAAAATTTATCTTCTCTTTTGTCCCTTTCTACAAGTTTTTTCATAAACATTTTGGGAGAGTTACTTGCGGGTTGTACTATATTTGATAGCACACAGCTACAAATATATGATAACTGACACAAAACCAATGATGAATCACTACTAAAAAAATAGCGTTTAGCGACGAAAAATATTTCGTCACTACATAACGACGGATTTGCGACGGAATAACAATTTTGTCGCAAAATTGACAAATAATTTTTTGGTTAATAATATAGCAACAGATTTGCAACGGATTATTTAATCCGTCACTAAATATTAGCGCGAAAATTTGGCGCCTAAATTTTCCTACGAATTTAGTTACAAAATAATGATAACAAATATAATTAATATTGGGCAACGAAATTAGTGACAGAAAAAAGGTTGCTAAACTATTAAATATATTTTTATAAAAACTTATTATATAGTGACGAAAATATCCGTCAATTATCCACACACACACAAACACTAAAAGAGATTCGTCAAACTCCAGGAGTCAATCACATCCGCTCATCCGAATTTGATCAATGGTCCTGATAGAATATATGCCTTCACTTAACAGAGTAATGGACCAGGTCCCTTACTACACTAATGAATATAACCAGAAAGTTAATATGCAGGAAAAATCAACACAATGATTTTACGTGGAAACCTCCTTGCTTAAGGGAGTAAAACCACGACCTGTCTCACATGATTTTCAATCGTTTTCACTAATCTTCAAAAGCAAAAGTAAAACACGATTACAATTAATGTGAGAAGAAGTTTTTAATCTCACGTTTAAGAAATAGTCTCTATTGCTTAACAAGCCTAAGTAGAAAACAATCTACCCACTAAGCTATCCCACTTGGACAACCTAGACTTTTAACACTACCCACTGATTCCTTTATAGTTTCAGGAATAGTTTACAATATAAGAGCAAGAGAATATATTCCTAAAAGCTACACTAAAAGCTCTAGAGATTACTGCTATTCTTGGACTAATTCTGCCTTTTGTTTACTAGCAGCCTTTGCAATTGTTCTTGAAAAGTTCTATCTGAAGTTGCAAAAACTATGAAACATGTTTAGGAATGTGCCTTTTATATGGACAATTCACTTTCCTTAAACTCTTTGCCATTGGTTGGAGAAGTCTCACTTTCTGACGCCATCGGGAAGTGTGCACCTACTTTACTGTACCGTCTCCAGCTGACAAAAAACTGGCTCGTCACAATGAGAGTCTGGTACCTCTACAAGGTCCCTGTGTTTGTTTCATCTTCAACATTCAAGTAAGAAACCTGGTACCTTTACGAGGTCCCTAAGTTTGTAAAATAATCAAAACTGCAAATAACATTTTCCCCCTTTTTTATGATGACAAACAATGGACTTAGATCTCCTCCAACTTTTGTTCCCCCTTACTATATTCCCCCTCACTGTTTTCCCCCTTATTGTTTCCCCCCTCACTGTATTCCCCCTCACTGTATGATCATTCAGCTACTTACCAGTTTTACTTCCCCTTTTGGCATCATAAAAAGATATGCAGTAAACCAGTGATGTCAATAGTAATACAGAATAAGATCAAAGCTAAGAAGCAATCGATCAAGAAGGGAAAAGCATTCACAAAAGACTATAATCAGAACAACAGAGGAATAAGTTAACAAGCATTCCACAATAACATTAATACATTAAAATTAAAATGATTATTCAACAACACAAATATAAGCCACAAAAAGAACGACACAAGGGAGGGTTTTTAATAGGCTAGGAAGAGGGAAGAGGATGAGACAGGGACTGGATGATAAGAGTGATTCGTGCATTGGCAGCATCATTATCTTTAATAGCCTTCTCCTGCAAGGCAGTGATCTTAGCCTTCAACTCTGCATTCTCTCTCTCCAAAGCTTGTACCACTGAAGAACCAGGTCCCTCATTCTGTGCAGTAAGCAGTTCTGCTTTGAGTATAGCAATTTCGTCCTCTTTACGACTCAAACGCACAGTGAGCTCTTCAACCTCATGCTTAAGTTGATCCTGATCTTCGATGAGTTGAGTCATCTTGCTCTTGGGATTGCCTCTCCCTTCAATATACTCACACTCGACCAGGGTACTCTCTGAGATAGTCTGTTTAACCGTCCCAACCCTTTTAACACTGAGAGGAATTTGAAAATGCTTGAATACTTCCGTTAGAAAGTACCCGTATCCCATTCCATGAACACCTTTCCTCTCGATGACGGTTTTGTAGATATGCTCAAGCATAAGACCTGGGAGATTCAGGGCTTCGAAGCTACACAACATCTCCATCACAAACAAGACAGCAACAGTTGCTGAGGTTCTCTTTTCAGTGCAAGGAAGGAGGACTTTGTTGATGAACTCGAAGACTAACTGGTACTCGCTCTTCATGATCTTCTTATAAATTCCAGCAACCTTGATTGGGGTATCTTAGAAATTAAGGAAGCAAACTCACAAGAGCAAGTTCTTCCTAGCACAGACCGGGTCTCCTCTCTAGGCACCCTGAGAATTTTGCTCAAAACCCTCATCTAGATATACAGCAATGTCATTGACCCGTGTGAGGATACTCCCATCTTCTTTGAATTGAACATTATAATAAAATTCGCGCACTTCTTCTTCATAGAGGATGGGGGATTTTCTGTTGAACAAATGCAGCCATGATTGAATTTCAACCATATCATGAATAGAGTCC